GGAACCACTGCCAACAGCCAAAAAAGATAAAATGTCCCCCCACCAGCTCGAAATTTAATCCCAAATACCCATATGACCAAATTAGAGCAAGATTAATGGTGGGTGAACTATAAACTGTGGGCAAAGCCTAGTGGAGTCGTTGTGGCTAAAACTCTAAAACTCCTCTAATGAGCCCCTTTTTGATTCCTCTTTCACGTGATTTTTCGATCATTGTGCTCACCGTCCTTTTCTGTGCAGGGTAGTCGAAGAAAAAAACTCAACCACGAAGGAGGATCGACGGAGCTGCCGCACTCGGATATCCCCCGATCGGTAGGTTTGGTATTTTTTGAGATTTTTCGGTCAACTGAGGCCCCTAACGTGTCTTTCTACAGGAATATGGCCAAAACCAATAAGGTCGAGCTGAACTGCCGCCGTGGGCGGCAGAGCCAGCGCTGAAGTACGGCGGCGGCACCGCGCCGGAACCCCAAAAATTGGCCGGAATGAGTTTTGGATAATGATTTTAGATTTTTGGAGTATTTTTATGTGAGTGACGAGTGTTTTGAATTTTACAATAAAAATTTAAGGAATCCAGTACCCGTTAGGAGGCGTAGTAGACAGTTTGACATCTCGAAACATCGATTTGGGTAAGAATATTATCTAGATTATTATAACTTCAATTTAAAATTTCTCATATGATTTAAATTTATTTACACTTAGATCAGAAGAATATTAGAAAAAATATTTTACTCGACTGAGATTAAGACAGTAGCTAACATCAAACAATGAAAATGGGGTACGTGCTTTACATTTTTTAAAAATGTATAAAAAAAATTTAAGAGTAATTTTGAATATTACAAAATGTCAAACCTAAGGTCTCACTTCTTGTGACTATAATGATAGTGATTGTAATGATGTGTCTTGTCTTGATATATTTATAACCAAGTGTACAACTATAATTTAATTTATTTAACGTACGTATCATAGTATAATTAGGATATACATATGTGATTGATTGTAGAATACAAATTCATTTATAACTAAGGTTTTGTCTAGGATAAATGTATAATATTGTATAATTCCATTAAAAAATTGAACATTGTTTGGAAGTAATATAAGTTTTTAAATTTCATAAATTTAGAAACAAATTAAAAATAAATATAATATTTTTAGTAATAAGCTATAGAAATTTACTTTCATACCTTTACTTAAGTTAATTTTATGAGAATAAAATATTAGAGATTAATGACATATCATTTTTTAACTTTATATAATACTCAAGTCAAATATTCTCAATATTTATTGAGCTTTTGAATCTCAATTGTTTGAGTCCAAAAAGTTTCTTGCAAATTTCATGTTGGTGCAACTTTGGAGGTTTTGTGATAGTTGTCATTCATATAAGGGTATAAAAATAACAAGACTTTATTATAATTTTCAGTTGATGCAACAATGAGTCTTATTCGATAATTGTCCTTCGTATAAAGACCTAATAATAATGAAGACATCAAGACTTTGTTACTTAATTAGAAGATGACAATAATGTTTTGATAGAATGTGACAAAATTTTATACTGCTTAAAACGTGGCATTTAAAATCTTAAAGCATAAAAAAGTAAGATTTAAGTCATCCTATAAACTATA